AGAGATAAAGTTACACTCAGACTTTGAGAGAAGCAATTATCTTAGTAGGACTACAAGAGAATACCAACCCACTTTTAGGTTGGTGGGGGCTGGATTGCTCTTTTGGTAGCAGAACAAAGGTTTGAGTCTCTCTCACTCTATAGCAGCCTTGATGCGACAGACATACACACACACATACACACATATACATATATATACAATCTTATTATCAAGAACTTAACTATATTTTTTGGACATTATTTAAACATTCTGTATGCCAATATTTTATTTCTAATTTTATGCAACATTATTATTAAATCATCTTTTTGAGTTTTTACAAGAAGTGGAAGGACTTTCTATTTGAACATTTCTCATCAATACAAGTTAATAAAATATCGAGTCAATACGATATTTTACAAAGTTATTTTGATTTTTTTTTTTTATTTTTTTACACTAACTTTCATTTTTTTTTTGATCACTTTTAATGCTATAACAGGGAATGCAAACATCCCCTATAACTTTGATGGGCGTTGTCATATGTTCTTTCTGGGGTCTATCAGACTCTGGATCTCTCCTCTGCCCTTACATCATCTAATCAAACCAAGATCGGTGTGATCAGATGCTTTCCCAATTTACAAATGGCGCTGTTTATATCCTGCGAAACTGAAGTGATGAAATGCTCGTAGCTTCCGAATTCTTAGGCTATAGAGATGATTGGCACCATTCTGGTCTCCAATCAGCTCTATGGTCAGCTGGCAGAAACACTGGCTGCATTCCCAGGTTCCCCCGATGGCACAAGACTGCCCGAGAAAGCCGTGGAAGGCAGCGGGGGAGGGGGGGGGGGCATCATCTCCCGCTGCTTGTAAAATCAATCCTGCAGCTAATTAGCCACTAGGATTGCTTTTACATGAAAGCCGATCGCCGGCTGAAAAACAACAATCCCAGGATGTTGCCTGCAGCTGTAGCATCATCCTGGTATAACCATTCAAAGTCCAGAGAGGTACCCGTACGTCGCTGGTCCTTGTTGGGTATATATTCTATGTTCTTTTTTTTTTTTTTTTGTATGCAGCCTGTGGACTGAATGAAAAAAAGAGAAGAAATCTCTGCCAGAAAAAGTGTGTGGTACGCCCCACCATTAGAATATACCGCCCTGCATCCACCCACTTTTTTGCGCTATAAAAAAAAAAAGGGCTGACAATTTTGAGAAAAAAACAATATTTTGGACTTTTTACTATAAAACATGTCCAGTAAAAAAATTAAAAAATCTAATTTCGTCATAAATTTCGGCCAAAATGTCTCCCGCTCCGTGTCTTTGCTAAAAAAAAAAATCCCAATATGTGTAAATTAATTGGTTTTACGTGAAAGTTAGAGCGTCTACAAATGGCGGTATAGATACTGGGATTTTTTTTTTATATACTAATAATGGCGGCGATCAGCGACTTATGGCGGTGATCAGCGATTTATGACAGTGATCGGTGACTTATGGCGGGACTGCGGACATTTTGACACTTGGGGGGGGGGGAACTGACTTGGGGTCACTGACATCCCCAGTGACACCAATACAGTGATTAAAAAAAAAAAAAAAAAACACTGACACTGTACAAATGGCACTGGGGAGGAAGGGTTAACATTTTAAGCAATCAAAGGGTTAACTGTGTGAGGGGAGTGTTTTACTAGTGGGCGGGGGGTGTGTACTTCACAGGAACACACTTTTCCCGAGAGCTAAACTCCACTCTCAGGAACAGTGTGTTGGGAACTGACAGGGAGCAGAGCTGCATTGAAAACAATGCAGCCGTGCTCTGTGTCACGGTTTGCCGGCCGGGACCCGGTGACTGACACCCGCGGCCACGATGGGTGGCGCGGGTAGGGCGGTCACGCGCCTCGTGCGCGCCCCCTACCTGTTTTGCAAAATCACGTTTTAAAACGTGATTTTGCGCAGCGGTGCCGCCCTGCCGCCGTTTTTATACAGTGACTGGTCGGCAAGTGGTTAAGTCATAATTATTTCTGGTTCAATAATACATTTTACAAACAGTCAAGTGGAGTAGCCATGGGAGCAAAGTTTACTCCTCCTCTTGCGAATATTTTCATGGCAGAGTGGGAGGATAGATTTATTTTTCAGATACTTCAACCAGAATTAACCGATTCAATCCCGGGCAATTTTACACCCTCCCCCCCCCCCAGGCCAGTTTTCAGGTTTCAGCGTTCTCACACTTTGAATGACAATTGCGCGGTCATACAACATTGTACCCAAACTAAAATTTTATCATTTTCTTCACACAACTAGAGCTTTCTTTTGGTGGTATTTAATCACCGCTGGGGTTTTTATTTTTTGCTAAATTAACAAAAAAAGTCCAAAACTTTGAAAAAAAAAAAGTTTTTTTTTTGTTTCTGTTATAAAAGTTTGTAAATAAATAATTGTTCTTCATAAATTTAGGCCGAGATGTATTCTGCTACATGTCTTTGGTGAAAATAACCCAAATTAGGATGTATTATTTAGTTTGTAGGAAAGTTATAGAGTTCACAAAACTATGGTATAGATCTGAATATTGATCAATCCTGAAGTACTGACAGCCAATCTAATTTCTTGAGGTCCAAGAATGTCAGAATAGTACAGATATCCCCCAAATGTCAGGACAGTACAGATACCCCCCAAATGTCAGAACAGTACAGATATTCCCCAAATGTCAGGACAGGACAGATATCCCCCAAATGTCAGGACAGATATCCCCCAAATGTCAGAACAGTACAGATATTCCCCAAATGTCAGGACAGGACAGATATACCCCAAATGTCAGGAGAGTACAGATATCCCCCCAATGTCAGGACAGTACAGATATCCCCCAAATGTCAGGACAGTACAGATATCCCCCAAATGTCAGGACAGGACAGATATCCCCCAAATGTCAGAACGGTACAGATATCCCCCAAATGTCAGGACGGTACAGATATCCCCCAAATGTCAGAACGGTACAGATCTCCCCCAAATGTCAGGACAGTACAGATATCCCCCAAATGTCAGGACAGGACAGATATCCCCCAAATGTCAGGACAGGACAGATATCCCCCAAATGTCAGAACAGTACAGATATCCCCCAAATGTCAGAACGGTACAGATACCCCCCAAATGTCAGAACAGTACAGATATCCCCCAAATGTCAGAACAGTACAGATATCCCCCAAATGTCAGAACAGTACAGATACCCCCAAATGTCAGGACAGGACAGATATCCCCCAAATGTCAGAACGGTACAGATATCCCCCAAATGTCAGAACGGTACAGATATCCCCCAAATGTCAGGACAGGACAGATATCCCCCAAATGTCAGGACAGATATCCCCCAAATGTCAGGACAGTACAGATATCCCCCAAATGTCAGGACAGTACAGATATCCCCCAAATGTCAGGACGGTACAGATATCCCCCAAATGTCAGGACGGTACAGATATCCCCCAAATGACAGGACAGTACAGATATCCCCCAAATGTGAGAACAGGACAGATATCCCCCAAATGTGAGAACAGGACAGATATCCCCCAAATGTGAGAACAGGACAGATATCCCCCAAATGTGAGAACAGGACAGATATCCCCCAAATGACAGGACAGATATCCCCCAAATGTCAGGACGGTACAGATATCCCCCAAATGTGAGAACAGGACAGATATCCCCCAAATGTGAGAACAGGACAGATATCCCCCAAATGACAGGACAGATATCCCCCAAATGTCAGGACGGTACAGATATCCCCCAAATGTGAGAACAGGACAGATATCCCCCAAATGTGAGAACAGTACAGATATCCCCCAAATGACCCCTTTTTGCAGAGTAGACAGTCCGACGTACTTCAAAAGAGGCATGGCGAGTTTTTTGAAGTTGTATTTTTTTTGTCATAATTTTTCGGAAAATGAAAAAACTTAAAAAATAAGTTTCACTATTTGTTTTTTACATATTGTCACCAGTGCAGTACAGCGTCATCATATAACTGGCATGGCGGTGATCAGGGACACAGCAGAGAACCAATCTCCTCATTTGGGGAGGGGTGTTTAGGTGGGACCCAAGCTGGAACCAAAATCCCTCCCAGTTTATATCATGATCAATAACCTACCCTAGGTGTATGTAGCAACCTAGCCACTAGTAGATTAATAAGCAGAATCATCTGCTGAACGTCTAGATATTAAATATGACATACCTGCTTGGGACGGTTAAGGAGATATCGTTTTCTGCTCTCCTGTAGATTTCAACTAGGGGGTGTAAGATATCAGACAACTTGTATTAAACTGAGCCATCCAAACATGTGCTCCATGTTTATGTAATTATTTCCTATTTCAAGATATAAAATCATATGGAAAAATGAATTTTTAAATGCGAGTCTGTTTTACAGCTAGCTGGAATGTCTTTGAAGCCCAGTGAAGGACTGGTTTATGGCTTTACGATCTTTTTCCAAGCAAGAGTCTCACAGACATACGGGGGCCAGGCTAATTGGGGTTTATTACCATGAAGCTCCCCCACTGTGCCTGATGCCAGAGATCTCTGGCATCATACAGACCACATGTCACTCAACAGAGAGGGAGGGGGGATTGGAGGGAAGCTGATATGGGAGTAGAAATGATACAAGATGGAGGCCTTTGCCAAAATGGAGGTTCGCATCCATCTCTGTACGTACAATTGCTACACCTTCCCCCTCAGGCGGTTGCATGGGAGAGAACTGCAGTTTCCCTCCTGACGCAATCGACTCCTGCTGCTGGTTTGGCTGACCAGAGCACAGACCCATTGTGCCCAGAGGTTCACCTTGGGGTGATCTGGTACAACTGCACTGCGGGAGAACCAGGTTCCTTCTGAGAAGGGTGCTGTTCTCCCCAGCAACACTGTTGTGCCAACCAAGTGAGTTGTCAGGGGTGAGCACCAGTCGGCTGTGACTACCCGGATATCGCGGCAACTGCCGTGGTGCCCACCTGTTCACACAACACTTCTGTTCAGGGGTGTCATATGCTAACATATTGAGATGTAGCTTCTTGTCGAGGTAGAGAATGAGATTTCCCTCTCCAATCTTCTTCCTCAGGCCTAGGACTACATCTTATATATATATAGTGCAGCGCTGTGATGTGATTTTTTTAAAATTAAAAATGAATATAAAAATAGTTCATAAAATCTTTGTCACAATAATGACATCAAATATGTGCAGGCCTTCTCCTCATTAGGTGACTGGAATCAGATAGTAAAAATGCGCACTCACCGACCGCACATTTTAAATGCGCCTGTGTGTAATATTATCCAGAAGACCAGCCAGGCATGCAGCTCCAGAAAACACACGGGATCCCCCTCTTAAGCGCTGACATCAACCTTGGGTGTAGCAATACCTCCAGATCCAGAGACCCTCTCGCCCACAATGATAGGTAGACAGGGATCCCCCTTCTGGTTCCAGGTACCCCAAAAATGGAAGGTGTAGATCTGCAACCCTCCAACAGGAGAGTCAAGGAAAAAAAGGGGAACGCCAATAGTGTGGTAGGTTCAAAACTTTATTGGAGCAACACTCATACAGCCAGGGTCACATGTACATACATACACTATTAGCCAATAAGCGGACAGGTAAGTATGAGAACAAAAAACTTGTACTAACCCGGCAGTGGTAAAGATCAGAGACCACTGGACCTCCTCGTGGTTTCAGTGGTCAGGAAGTCACACTTGCTAATGGCTCCTCCTGAGGCCTTTCCTGCTAAATGCACTTCATCAGAGGTTGGACGCCACTCTTGGCTGTATGAGTGTTGCTCCAATAAAGTTTTGAACCTACCACACTATTGGCGTTCCCCTTTTTTTCCTTGACTCTCCTGTTGGAGGGTTGCAGATCTACACCTTCCATTTTTGGGGTACCTGGAACTAGAAGGGGGATCCCTGTCTACCTATCACTGGGGGCGAGAGGGCCTCTGGATCTGGAGGTATTGCTACACCCAAGGTTGATGTCAGCGCTTAAGAGGGGGATCCGTGTGTTTTTCTGGAGCTGCATGCCTGGCTGGTCTTCTGGATAATATTACACACAGGCGCATTTAAAATGTGCGGTCGGTGAGTGCGCATTTTTACTATCTGATTCCAGTCACCTAATGAGGAGAAGGCCTGCACATATTTGATGTCATTATTGTGACAAAGATTTTATGAACTATTTTTATATTCATTTTTAATTTTAAAAATCACATCACAGCGCTGCACTATATATATATAATGTTTCTGTTATGAGGTCCAGTGATCCCTTGAAGTGTTCCAGCTGCTGGTTTTTCTGAGCGCTCGCTATATTTACTAGGACTACATCTGACCCGAAGGTAGTGGCGCCTGTGTTCACCGGAACCGGACAGGCGAATTCTGGAACTCGTCTTCCAGATGTGTCTACAGGTCCCTTCGTCCAGGATGAACAGTCCTTTTTACCTGCTAGCATCTAGGACACCATTTCCATCAGTTTCCTGTCTGCTAGGTCAGTCCCAGGTCCAGCTGAGCCATGATAGTTGCACCCAGGCGTCTTACCGTAGCCAGCTGTACCCAAGACTGACCTAACCTGATTTTTGGCCTGGGGAGTAGGCCAGGCCGTAACTGCCTCAGTCTGTCCATCCGCCATGGCTTAAAACATTCCGAGAGGACAATTTATGAGAGTAAGGAGGAACTGTTCTAAAGACAGTGACTTCATATCTCAATCAAGTATCATTAAAACCAGATTTATCCAGAAGGGTTTCCCTCAAATATTCCTCGATAAAGTCACGCAGGACATCTTTGATATCTCTAGAATCTCATGTTTAGAAAACAATATCAGTAAGAAAGAGGATAATCATCAGTGGAACGTTTTATCAGATTTTCATTGTCAGTATGAAGAAGTGGAGGCAATTTTCCGTCATCATTTGGCATATTTTGCTTTTGGACAAAACTTTAGGAACTGTTTTACCTACAAAGTCTAATTTTATATACAGGAAGGAACCTACTTTTGGAAGTTGGGCGCTCAAAAAGATTTTGGATATGCCTAAAACATCTTCCATGTTCCCTCATAAAAAGGGGTTCACTGCTTGCAAGAAATGTAAAGCATGTAGAACCACCAAAAATAACATGAATAGATTAGTAAAATTTACATCTGGCACAGCAAATAGAGAATTTGGAATCCCTGAGTTCATCACTTGTGACGCGACACATGTTGTCTATGCCATTCAGTGTCCATGCGGATTGATATATATAGGAAGGACTAAACGACCCCTCAAAACTAGAATAGCTGAACATATGAAAATGATCAGAAAGGGTTTTTCCCAACATAATGTCCCTGACTATTATGCTAAGTACCATCAGAAGGACCCTACATTAGTAACATTTTGGGTTGCAGATTGGGTGGCCCCTAAATGGAGGGGATCCAATAGGGTTAGAGATTTATCCTGTAGAGAAACTAAATGGATATATCTTTTAAAGTCTTTGACACCAGGGGGATTGAATGTTGAATTGGATATCAATTGTTTCATTAGCAACACATCATTTAGATATTCTTTGCATAGATTATAGGGTGATGTCATTGATATTGTAATGTTTTCACACTCTGGTCCCATATACATGATGCCACAGTTTCATGACTTATGCATTTACCTTCTATGTTAATTCTGACGTGTTTCGAGATTAGTAGTATTGATTCATGCATCGTGTTTGTGAATTTGGGGAGATAAGATGGGATGATGGATGTGGACGTTTCCCCATATGCGCTGTATGAAAGTTGTGGTTTTATTTACATTTAATTATAATGTGTTACATATCAGTGTGTGTATATACATAACTGTTATGGAGAATTGTTTTATTTTATGTTTTGCCCATAGTTGTGTCTATATATGGTGTGAACTTCCGCCAGGTTCCCACTTAACTTCCGGTATGGAGGTATGTATTGTAGATGACCAATAGAATTGTTTTATTTATGTTTTGCCCATAGTTGTGTCTATATATGGTGTGAACTTCCACCAGGTTCTAACCTCATTTCCTGTAAGGAGGTGGTGTGTATTGTAGATGACCAATAGAATTGTTTTATTTATGTTTTGCCCATAGTTGTGTCTATATATGGTGTGAACTTCCGCCAGGTTCTCACTTAACTTCCTGTATGGAGGTGTGTATTGGAGTTGACCAATGGAATTGTTTTATTTATGTTTTGCCCATAGTTGTGTCTATATATGGTGTGAACGTCCGCCAGGTTCCTATCTCACTTCCGGTATGGAGGTGTGTATTGTAGATGACCAATAGAATTGTTTTATTTATGTTTTGCCCATAGTTGTGTCTATATATGGTGTGAACGTCCGCCAGGTTCCTATCTCACTTCCGGTATGGAGGTGTGTATTGTAGATGACCAATAGAATTGTTTTATTTATGTTTTGCCCATAGTTGTGTCTATATATGGTGCGAACTTCCGCCAGGTTCCCACCTCCCTTTCTGTATGGAGGTGTGTATTGGAGTTGACCAATGGAATTGTTTTATTTATGTTTTGCCATAGTTGTGTCTATATATGGTGTGAACTTCCGCCAGGTTCCCACCTCACTTCCTGTATGGAGGCGTGTATTGTAGTTGACCAATGGAATTGTTTTATTTATGTTTTGCCCATAGTTGTGTCTATATATGGTGTGAACTTCCGCCAGGTTCCCACCTCCCTTCCTGTATGGAGGTGTGTATTGCAGTCGACCAATTGGAGGATTAATGTCTCTGATTGCTGGGTCTATAAAGAGTAGCACGCCGCATCACACCGTCACCCCTATGAGTAAGTCGGAATTGACGAAACGCGTCAGGGCGTGACGGTGCGACGACTGGAAGTGACGTGGACCGGTCACTTTTTCTTTAACCACATGCCGCCCAGCCACTGTATAAATACGGCGGCAGGGCGGCATGGCTGGGCAAAAACCATGTTTTAAAACGTGTGTTTTGTAAACAGGTAGGGGAAGCGCGCGAGGCACGCCGCCGCCCCCTACCTGTCCCGCCGATCACAGCCGCTGATGTCAGTCGCCGGGTCACAGCCGGTCGTTACCGCCTATGTCCCGGCGATTAGCGGCAATCGCTGACAGAGAGCAGGGCTGCAGTAGCTGTGCTTTCTGTCAGTTCCCTGACAGCTCCAGGACACGCTGATCGGGACAGAAGAGTTTCTCTCTCCTGATCAGCGTGTTCCCTGCAGTACACCCCCCCCCGCCCCCCTAGTAAAACACTCCCCTCACACAGTTAACCCTTTCCCTGAAAAATAAACTTAACCCCTTCCTCCCCAGTGCCATTAGTACAGTGTCAGTGTTTTTTTTTTTTTTGCACTGATCACTGTATTAGTGTCACTGGGGATGTCAGTAACCCCAAGTCAGTACCCCCCAATGTCAGAATGTCTGCCGCAGTCCCGCCATAAGTCGCTGATCGCTGCCATAAGTCACTGATCGCCACCATAAGTAGCTGATCGCCGCCATAAGTCGCTGATCGCCGCCATTATTAGTATAAAAAAAAAAACTAAAAATCCCAGTATCTTTCCCGCCATTTGTAAACGCTATAACTTTCACGTAAACCAATTAATTTACACGTATTGGATTTTTTTTTTTTTTTTTAGCAAAGACATGTCGCAAAATGCATTTTGGCAGAAATTTATGACTAAATTTGAGTTTTGCATTTTTTTTTACTGGACATGTTTTATAGCAAAAAGTCCAAAATATTGTTTTTTTTTCCTCAAAATTGTCAGCCTTTTTTTTTATAGCGCAAAAAATAAAAACCGCACAGGCGATCAAATACCACCGAAAGAAAGCTGAATTTGTGGGGAAAAAAAAAGGATGTAAATTTCATTTATGTACCGTATTGCATGACCGCGCAATTGTCTGTTAAACTAGCGCAGCGCTGTATAGCAAAAAAATGGCGTAAATTGCAGTATCTATACCATAGATTGTAGACGCTATAACTTCACACAAAGCAATCAATATACACTTATTGGGATTTTTTTACCATAAACATGGAGCAGAATACATTTTAGCCTAAATTTATGACTAACTTTAAGTTTACGATATATTTATTTACAGCCGAAAGTAGAAAATATCGTTTTTTTTTTTTTTTTAAATTTTCAATTTTTTTTGTTTAACGCATAAAATAAAAAGCGCACAGGTGATTAAATACCACCGAAAGAAAGCTCTATTTGTGTGAAAAAAAGGACGTAAATTTTTGTTTGGGTGCAGCATTGCATGACCGCGCAATTGTCAGTTGAAGTAGTGCAGTGCCAAACAGCAAAAAAAGGCGTGGTCATTAAGGGGGGTAAATCCTCAGGGGAGGGTAAGCGGCTAATATTTATCCCGATGACCTCCGTACACCATGTCCAATAATAGCTATGCGCCATGTTATCCTAACCCAGGGGCGGACTGACCATTGGGAAACTCGGCACTGCCCGGGGTCAGTAGGGGGCCCCATGAGATGCCCCTGGTACCTTTTCCATAGGCTTTTTTGAGTTTGGGCGAGGATACAGGGGCCCCATGATCCCCTATTGCCCGGGGGCCCCATGAGTTGTCAGTCCACCCCCGGTCCTAACCACACAATAAAATGTTATAAACTCTAAAAGGTTAAATATATAAAGTTATGATATTGTGACGCCCTCACCACTCCCAGAATTGTCATTTCTGAGCTCCTCCCCTGGGATGCAGTTGGTATAAGAAGCAAAAATGTTTCTTGTCAGTCAGACATCCGATCAGCAGCAGAGTCTCCGGCAAAAAGCTTCTTCTTAAAAATAATTTTCCAAAATAAAATGGCAGCAGGAAGTTCTCAAGTGAAAGTGTTTGAAAAGTATCTTAGCCAGACCTCTTCCACTCCTTGTTTAGTGTTCTTCCATGGAGGGTCAGCTGAAGGTACCCATAACAGGCAGCTTTGAGGATTTTCTTTTGGGGAATATTATTTCCTTTAATAAAAAGTCCAAAAAATCACTACAATGTCTCCATCCATCCATCCATCCATCCATCCATCCATCATCTCCATCTTCATATCTCTATCTCATGCATCCATCCATCCATCCATCCATCCATCCATCCATCCATATCTCCATCTTCATGCATCCATCTGTCCATCCATCCATGTCCCCCATCCATCCATCCATCTATCTATATCTCCATCCATCCATCCATCCATCCATCCATATCTCCATCTTCATCCATCCATCTATATCTCCATCCATCCATATCTCCATCTTCATGCATCCATCTGTCCATCCATCCATGTATCCATCTGTCCATCCATCCATGTCTCCATCTATCCATCCATGTCTCCATTAGGGGCGGACTGACCATTTGGAAACTCAGGCACTGCCCGAGGGCCCGGGGTCAGTAAGGGGCCCCATGAGATGCCCCTGGTACCTTTCATAGGCTTTTTTGGGTGTGGTTTGAGTGTGGGCGAGGATACAAGGGTCCCATGATCCCCTATTGCCCAGGGGGCACCATGAGTTGTCAGTCCGCCCCTGGTCTCCATCCATCTATCTGTCCATCTATGTCTCCATTTATCTGTCCATCCATCCATCCATGTCTCCATACAACCATGTCTCTGTCCATCCATCCATCCATGTCTCCATCCATCCATCCATGTCTCTATCCATCCATCCATCCTCCATCCATG